AAAGTGTCACTGGGTCTTGATGAGGCAGCACCCAGGATAAAGACAAGATCTTTCAAGGTTCCAATGGGATCCGGTGCATTGTGTCCTCAGCACCCACTTGATCAATCAATCTCAATCACAATTGGGAGCGCAGGGGACTTTGAGAGGATGCGCCGCGGCTTCCGCTGCCATGCCTCAAGCCACACCTCAATACAGTACATAATGTAGGAAAAGGTTGGAAAAGGAATGACAATGAACACAAATGAACATGGAGACCTCAGACCTACTCCCAAATGCTCAAAACCAGTCCCCCCCCCTCATATACATTTCTAGCTCTGTTTCAGTCTTTGTTTCATATCTTCTACACTACAAAATGGATCAAAATGATGACAATTATTCAAAAATATTCAAGTATCGTAGTTTCTATATCCTATATCGTACAATCTCAAGACATTTCTGCCCTGGAAATATCCTTTATCTTATAGCATCAAGACATTTCTGCCCTGCAATCGTAGTTTCTATATCCTATATCGTACAATCTCAAGACATTTCTGCCCTGGAAATATCCTTTATCTTAGCATCAAGACATTTCTGCCCTGCAGTTTTTGAGTATAGAAAAGAAGAGCCAAACACTTGCCCAAGGGCCTCCCGAGTTCCCGGTGCTTAGATCCGGTGGATCTAAGCGCTGGAAACCTCTCCGTTAGCGCTGGAAGAGCTTCTGGAGCGCTGGAACCACTCCGAAACCTAGCTTCCAGTGCCCCGGACGGGTTCCCGGTGCTTAGATCCGGTGGATCTAAGCGCTGGAAACCTCCGGGCCTTCGTCAAGCAAAATTGATCTGGGATCAATTTTGCTTGATGAAGCCTTCCCGTAGATCAATTTTGCTTGACCAAGCCTTCCCGTAGATCAATTTGGCTTGACGAAGGCCCGGAGAGTTTCCAGCGCTTAGATCCACCGGATCTAAGCACCGGGAACCCGTCCGGGGCACTGGAAGCTAGGTTTTGGAGTGGTTCCAGCGCTCCAGAAGCTCTTCCAGCGCTAACGGAGAGGTTTCCAGCGCTTAGATCCACCGGATCTAAGCACTGGGAACTCGGGAGGCCCTTGGGCAAGTGTTTGGCCACATTGGCTAGCCAACCCAGGTCCATCACTGGGTTGCACAGGGATGCACACCCTCAGCCCCCCATGCCCATCACTGGGTTTCAAACATAGATGCATGTAAAATAGCAAATGAAATGTACAAAATGGAACAAACGTTCGGGGAACCTCATTATACATTTTTAAGGTGTGGGTGTGGAGACCTCCACCTAGATCCCTTCCATTTACTAGAATGTGAAAACTGAAACCATTGCATTTACTAGGTAGCCCAAGCGTCTGCAAAGACTGCTCGACAGAAACGTAGTGGATAAACTGCAGTGCTCTGTAAATCTTTCTGTCCTGATACTGTTCCATTGGAGTGGATCTTGTAGTCCTGTTTCTTCGATAAAACTCTTTTTGCCTGCAACGCAAGCCTCACCCGCTGCGTCATTTTGCGCTTAAGCTTGGAGGCGCCTGGCAAAGCAGCCCAGAGCTGTGTGCCTTTCTGAAGCCTATGACCGAAGCATCCGAGCCATGTGAACACCTTGGCTGGAGCCAGAAGAAAAATGAAAGGAACTACAACATACAAATATATTAAGGAATATTAAGGATTATTAGGGTAGGTATCCATAGCAATCCATAGCAATCACAACCATTCCCAAAGATATTCAAAGACGATTGCGCAAGCTACTCGCTTCAAGTTGAAGCGCGTGAGGAGCAACTTCATCACGGGAAGCTTCATCATGACACTGGACTGGGGTTGCTCCAGCAAGAAGTAAAAGTGTCGGTATGCAGCCAACTCGGTCAAGAAAGTCACCTGAATTTGGCATTTGGATAGTGTTGAAACAGGACCAAATTGGCACAAAGGAACACAAAGATATACAAAGCCTACACAGATTTGCGACCCAGTTGCCATGTTTATGACAATACGGTTGCTCAATCTCACCTTGAAGACGCGTTCATTTCCACGGAACTGATTATGCTGTTTACGTCGGTGAACACTTGAACTGAGGAAGACGAACAGGCCTTGGATCAGCAGTCAGCAGGCGCGCTCTCTCTCTCTCTCTAGAGGATGGTAGGGACTGTGGGGGAAGCACATGAAAACTGTTAAAGCTGAACAAAATAACTAGAAAATGACTTAGGATGGCGAGAACAAGTGGCTGCATGGAGGTGAGCAATAGAGTAAAGCACCAGGAACCAGAAGCAATCCAAGAGAAAGGAGGCTGAAGAAGCCCTCCTTCGTGGTTATGTCTTGCTGCTTGCTCCTCTTTATGTCAAACGAAGCTGTTCCAAGGCCCCTCTCTGCCCAAGGCTTGATCATTTTGCCGCTGGCCCCAAACAAGTCTAGAATGGTCAGCGTGCGCAAATGCTGCAAGCAATTGGCATCCAAAAAATCTCGGATTTCATCCAGGTGATCTTCTGCCTTGAACCTGAATGTGTTTCTTTAAAGCAGTCTGTTTTCTACCATGCCCATCCATCTTCTAAGGGAACTAGCAAAAAAGAATATATATACAGAACTATACTAAACATTACAAAATATACAAAATATACAAACTAATATTCAGACATATTCAGACCAAAAACCATTGAGATTCATCTTGGCCCCCAGATACATCATCAACTCGGACGCTGCCCACACATGTGGCGACAGCGCTGGCTAAGACAAGTGTCAAAGCGCGCAGCATGATCACAAAGAGATCGTTTGACAACTGCTGACAGTACTCTTCTCACCTCTAAGACTTTGAGCCAAAAGCAACCCACAAACATCCACAAACATAGCCAATAACATCTAATAATCAAATTTGTCGCCTTTTGTGGAAACTAACACATCTACTCGCTTGAAAAGTTTGGCGCCTGCTCCAAGGCATCTTTCTTCTGGGCCTGAGGCAATGAGGCCACTAGAGAATGGCTGGGAAGAGACATCAGGCACTTAGACAGTGGAAGGGTTTGGTATGGGTTTGGTTGAACGAGCATACATACCACAGAAAGGTGCAGCTATGCGGCATTGTCTGATGTGAGAGAAGGTATTGGATTCCAAATCCGACCAACTCCACCAAGTTTGCTTTCCAACTCATCAAAGCAGGCCACTTCCTGGGCCAAAGTCTCAAACGGATCCTGCGTCTGATGCAGCGCAGACTCCTGGGCACAGCGCCATAGTTTGGACTTGAATGTCAATATTGCTCTAGAACATCCTCTGATAGCAAAAACGAATGCTCTAGAAACCTCTAGAATATCCTCAGTGTTCATCAAAGTATATCAAAATATATCAATGTATATATATATATATCATAGCATTCATCATCATATGCGTTGCCCAAACCTATCCTCGGCAGGGATTGCAGGCGTCTCCCCATCCTGCTTACTCTCCTGAACACAAAGCACAAGCGCATACAAGCGCACACGCACACACAAGGCCTGAAATTGCAAAACCATCCCTAAAACAGTCCCTAAAACATGGTTGGACATGGATGATTTTGAGTCAAGTCCCCAGGTCCTTCACATGACCAATTTCTTCTGTCTTGGAGTCCTGGCACGAGCAGAGTTGTTCGTTTTATCGCATGGCATGAATGGGCAACAACCTGGTATCATCTAGTATCTTTGATATCTTTCATTTGTATCTAGAAAATGCTCAGGAAAGGCAGGGAAAGGCATTTTTGTTCAAATGCTTTGCCCATACCTATCCTTGGCAGAGACTGCAGGCATCTCCTCAGACTGATGATTTTCCTCAAAGCAGCAGCCAGTGACGATTTGGACTATCATAACAAAAAAACTTGGCGCATATCAGGCCATTTTATAAACCCCCTTGCCTGACTCATTACCAACTCGAACCATTTTCTAGAGCGGGTGGTAAAAAAATAACACGCATATCAGGCCATTTTATAAACCCCCTTGCCTGACTCATTACCAACTCGAACCATTTTCTAGAGCGGGTGGTCAAAAAAACACATGCATAAGTTGATTCAATGTGATGCAGCTGAGAATCTTCTGCTGGCTGTGGCACAGGTTTTGCTAGAGTTGGCCTTGAAGTACTGATTCGCAACGTTTTCTCCCATGTTTTCCTGGGAGACCACAAATTGAATTCAGATTCAATAAAACTTGGTAAAGCTATAGATTGAAACATATTCAAACGAATTCCAAGTTCCTTTAACATCCCTCACACTACAAATCATAGACAAGGAACCCATTCCAGAAGTAGTGATGGTAGCTCTTGCGATTTGTCGGCGGAGGCCCGCGGACATCGCAGCATGTAACTCAGATTTCCAAAAAAATGACCGCCAGTGTGCACCATTAAGGTAAGAACATGTAAAAAATATAAAAAAATAAGTTCAGGATTATTTAGGCATCCCGCGCAAGGATTAGGTTCATTGATATTTCAGAGGGGGGGGGTCTACGTATTTTCTCCAAGAAACGCCAGCATCCTCTCTGTGCGTCCCACTCCGGAACCGAAACATTTCCCGTGCAGCTTCTAGCTGTGCACAGTGTAGGCCACCCTGGAGGTGGCGGCATTGCATCAGCCGTTTCTTAGCCAAAAAACTGAGCCAAAAATGGCTGAGGATGAAACTTGCTTTGCACCGTAGCGTTTCCATATCAAGCAGTTGTCTCTAGAAAATGGTTTCCTTATCGATTCTTAATGTTTCGCCAACTGTCTAGAAAATGCTCTTCGACCTATTTTGGTATCCTACTTTTTTCAAGCGCAAGACAACTTTGGATTTCCTCTAGGAATTGGTACGGTATGGTCAAACAGCAGACTGTCTAATCCATTAAAAAACATGGTTTATAGAAAATGGTGGGGTTCCAGAAATGTAGGGGGGCATGCCTCACTATAAAATGACCCCCTTTCTACGGAACCCGGGTTGAACCATTTCCTAGAGGAAATTTTAAGGGGGATCAAAAAGGTGATATTCAACACATTGTCGTGCTCGCCATGTCTCTTTCTTACCGCTTTCTCCTGTCGCCCCTCAAACGGCATGGCCAGGCGTCGCCGTGCTTTGTGTCGGATACGGTCAAAGCTGCCGATCTGTGTTCCTTTCAGTGTGCATTTCTCGACGGAACACGTTCTCTGCACTGACGTGGATCACACGGATTTCAGGTGACAAAAGAAAACTGATTTCGCTGCGTGAGGCGTAGCCGGCGTAGACTTGCGCCGCATTGATTGCAACAAATAAACACGAACTCACCTTTGGATTTGAGCCAAAGCAACAGTTCAGTACTGGTCGTACAAAGCGGCGATTAGAAAGCTACATGATATGTGAGAAAGGCTCTTTGAGAGCCATTCTGGGTAGAGGGATGATTCCATCCACATTTGCAACACTGCGTCAGCGACTCCATCTCCGAGTTTCACAAATGAAAAGAAAAAGTGTGAGAAAGGAAACAAAACAAGGAAAGTGTGTTGGAAAAAACTTTCGCCCAACAGAAGCACCGAGAGGCAACGCTCCTTGTGAAACGGACATCGAATTCCGCCAGGCGGACACGGAAGTCGCGTCCCAAACTGTGGAGCGCTGTGTTCTGGTTCTTATCGAAGTAGCTACAGCTACGCTCCAGAATTTGGGCAAAAATGGACTGACGGCGGCCAAGGTGAAAACACAAAGGGCACAAATCGACTTCTCGACCTCTTGAGGAGGGTCTTCCCATGTCTTCCCAATCCGAAACCAGCTAGATTTGCATCCATGTCGACCTACGCGCGTCCATGTTCAACAATGCGACAATGCATTCTCTATGTTCTCCCCTTGGGCGGAAATGAAGAGCATACCACTTCGGGAGCCCCAAAGATGGACAAACGGCGGTAGCAGTCTGCGCTCACTCAACGTCCTGTTGCGCTCTGAAAGCGCAGAACAAACATAACCAGGAAAGGGCTTTGCAACGTGTAAGCAAATTGTAACTCGTGCAACAACAAAAACATGTAACAACGTCATTTGCGATGTCATGAACACTTGCACTCAATGCTGAGTGCACGTTGTTCCAATGGGACCAAGACGACTAAGCTAAGTAAGCCAATTTATTGCAACTCGTTTGGTTGGCGGCCTGTGATGTTGGTGTGGTAGATGTGTGTCACATCCTGAGGATGCAGTGATGCAAAATGATGCAAAATGATGCAAAGTGCAGTGGCTACAGTGACCTTGATAACTATATACTTTGGCGCACTTGCATGTCGAGAAATTTCCTTCCGTGTCCCTGACTGAGAGCAACAATGAAGAATGAATGCATTGCCCCCCAAAAATGAGGAACAGACTGTGTGTAGAACAACCTCTGTGTCTGTTACTTGCTAACTCAGAAGTCTAGAAACTGTTAACAGCAAACCTAGAATAAACAACATGTGGTATGTCGCAAACTTTTAGAACATCTCCCACAAGCGGGCTTTACAAGATGTCAGTGGTATGCTTGTCCAAGACTATTTATATATGCACAGCCTGAAACATGCAAAAGCCCACTTAACCATTCTCCCAAAATCAGATCTTAAACCCTCCAACTTTGTAAGCTTTACTTTGACCGGTTCGACCCTTCTTGTCAGAGCGCGGTCTCATTGCTGCATTTTCACGCACAGCGAAGGGTGCAACGCATGAGCCTCCAGGATCCAGGTTCGGTTTGCGTCGATTTTTTCGGTCAAAGCGACCGGTGCATTCTCCTCAGGGTGCACGAGGGTCCTCCAGCGCAGTTTGTTCTTGCAAGGCTCCCGGTCTGAGATGTCGCGTCTGAGATCGAAGTTCTTGCGAAGATCTAGAGAGCAAGTGCGGCAGTCTGATTGATGAAGTTAGTCAGGTATAGGCCAAATGCATCCACAAATTCTAGAGCTGATCTGCAGCTGGACCAAGTTTGTCCTCTAAAGGTGTGCTGCAGCAGCAGCAGCAGGAGGAAGAGGGGAAGAAGAAAAAAGGCTGTTGCAAGGTGCAGGGTGGTTGCCAACTGAGTTGTTGCAAATCTGACCCATTTGAGTGCAAATTCACGAAGCAGAAAAGACAATCAAACGGCTCATGGCGTACTAGTAGGTACCTAGACATTCACCGGCTAATATCAAAGGTGAGACACAAGACTCGAGAGATACTGCTGGTCAGCCAAAACAGTTGTGGACAGGACACCGAATAAACACACTTGTTCTATTGTTTCTCTCAAATAGAATAATAACTACCAAAATAAACCTGTTGTAAAATTAACACCAAGGACGAGTGTGTTCATTGTCTTCATCTGTGAGGCATTCTGTGAGGGCAAGGGTCCCATTTGCGACACCAAATCTGACTCATTGGCGACACAACACACGGTTTGGGGTTTAGGGTTTTAGATGGAGAGAACGTCGTGATGGAGAGATACGCTGCACCACAACTGAGCAAACACATCATATCCGAAAGAAACGATCTGCGACACATCCGAGTCCAATGTCCACGTCACAACGGAGACCCTTTCCCTCGGTGAGGCACTACTTTCCTGACGAAGCGTTCTTTGTTTCTCTCATGCAAATGCCAGAATTGAAGCAGACGCACATTTTTTAAAATAAATAAACAACAGAACATATTCATGAAGTCATCTGAAGTCCAATTTCAACTTTGTCCAAACTGAAAAGAAGCTGAAGCGGCGCTGTTTACACTTTGCATCCTTCTTTGTCGATCCTCGAGTCTGCAATTCTCAGTGTGATCCATGGAATCCATGACTGTTTGGGTTTTGCTTTTAGAAGACAGCTGTGACACCCGATTGTCTCGACACTGACTGTCGTCTATGACACAAGAAACCCTGGCACTTCCCGAAGAACGGCCAGAATATGAAGGGATACGAGGGAGGTTTTGAGTTGCAAGAAACTGCTCCTTGAGCGAACAACTTGCTAAGAGTACATAAACACATTCGAAGGCTATGCCGGCCTGGAAGAGTACTTCAATTGTTCTTCACTTCTGCCAGATTGAAACAAACTGCCACAATGAAGCATGGAAGGACTAAAGAAGGACTAAAGACACAGCCAAAGCGGTAGCGCACTGAACTTAGCGCAAAGGTAAGGACACGCACTGGACTTCTGCCAAGTCTCTGAGACAGTGTTACACTGTCCACACCGCACGTACCTGACCGGTCTGATCAGTCTCAGAGCGCAAGCTGCCCTGTCTTCTTGCGGAAAACAAGGAAACATACGCTTCTTGTTACTAGCAGCTTCTTGTTACTACTAGTAAGGCACTTGTTACTAGTAGCGATGCACTTGT